CTGAATGGCAAGGAGGGGTCAAGCCTGTGACAATACGGGAGAACAGAGTTCCAGAAAGGCGAGGCAAAAAGGGCAAAGGCTCCAAGGTGGGGATAAGCGTCTTTCGTTAGAAGAATAGACAGAAGGAAACCAGTGGGGCTGGAGTTGGTGAAGCAAGAGGGGCTGCAGTGGGAAATGAGGGTGGGGTGATGGGCGGCGCTGCATCACGCTGGACCTGTCGGCCATGGTACAAAGTCCAGGTTTCACTCTAGGATTTATGGGCATCTATTGGAGGGTTTTAAGCTGGGGAGTGACATGATTTGAATTATGTTTTTAAAAGGTCACCCTGTTAATTTTCATTTCGCAAACACTGACTGTCTACTTAGTAGATTCATTTAAGTGCCCTGGAGGTGAAATGCCCTGGAGGCAGGGGGAGCAAAGGAGAGCAAGACAGAAGCTTTCACACTTATGAAACAAACGTCGGCCATCATGCTTTGAGTCCATTAGCGTAACTGGCAGATCTGACTAGATTGAACATCAGGGAAAAACCACCGTGAGAAATTCAAAGTCTGGGTGTCCTGGAAAGAGGAGGGGACACAGGGTCTGCTGGCCCATGGGACTCTTTCATGGGGATCCAGCCAGAGAGTGATGGGTGGGTTTCCAGGGTGGACCCACACAGTTGGTTTGTGAAGAGATTTGCTACCTCTTCTTCAGCATGAACCTCAATTTTCTGGGGTCCTGTACCGGTGGTTCCAGGGTCTTCCCGAATGTCCAGAAAGCGAAGCTTATGGGAATGGACTTGTGGGCGGGAGAAGTGAGGAAGCCAGGGAAAGCCAGTAGGGGATCGATCGCTTTGCGGGACCAACATCCATTTTTACGGCAAAAATACCTTGATTCTCCCTTTGAAGTTCGTCCTTTCTCACTCTGAGTCCCTACTTTTTTGTTTTTTACCCGAGATTTAATGTACATTTATTCTTAACACGTGGACCAAGAGTATAATGGTTTCATACTGAATAAAAGATACCCATTAAGCCAAAGAAGGAAAAAAGGAGGAATTTACATCAAGTTTTAGCTACATTGTTTGAAATACAAATATGTAGATTTTATCACTGAAAGAAATCTCAGTTGTGTTTCTTCATCAGAAACTTCAACTGAACCTAGAACTTTTCCACACCTCGATTAGAAAGAAAATAGAACAAAACAAAAACCCAGAAAAAAAAATAAACTGTAAGTTGATTGGCTGCTGAAACAGCAAGGCACTAATCCCTCCCCCAGGCTCCAGCTGGAGGGAGATGTCTGTGATGGAGGCCTGCACATTACATCTTGCAGGTGACAGACTTATGTTCAGCTTGTGACTCCAGTCAGCCAATAGGGGTCAATTGAGGGACTTTATGTGAAAGTGTCAGGACACTTACTGTCTTTACTCTGAGATTCTTTGCTGTGAAATGCCAAGGATAGGGCTTCCGGAGGCCACTGTATGTATGACCTAAGCCTCAAATCAAACAGGCAAATACTAAGCCCGGAGTAAGAGAGGGCAAGAGATAGAACCCTGGGTCCAACCATTCCTGAAGCCAGCTTCACCTCCGCTTGTTCAGTCCTATGGAGCAATAAATTCCATCCACCTCCCCTATTATTTTTCCTGAAGTCCAGTTAAAAAACAATTTTTAAAATCACTTGCAATGCAAACATCAGGATAGGACTTTTCCCCTCCTAAGGGGACTACTTCCTCCCTGGAGTGGGTAGACTTGTCTCCCTCAAAAGATGTGTTGAAATCCTAACCCTCAGAACCTGTGACTGTGGCCTTATTTGGAAAGAGGGTCTTTGGAAAGAGACAAGGGATTCCAAAGATTGCCAGCGACCAACAGAAGGCAGGGAAGGAGGATGGGACAGATTCTCTCCTTCACAGCCAAGGGAGGAACCAATTCTATTAACTCCTTGATTTTGGACTTCCGGCCTCCAGAACGAGGAGAGAATACGTTCCCGTTGTTTTAAGCCCCTAGTTTGTGATATACCTCTCAAAAGACATGTAGCCTTTTAAAAAAAAATCTATTTATCTATCTATTTATTTATTTATGGCTGCGTTGGGTCTTCATTGCTGCACGTGCATTTTCTTTAGTTGTGGCGAGCGGGTGCTACTCTTTGTTGTGGTGCGCGGGCTTCCCATAGCGGTGGCTTCTCTTGTTGCATAGCACGGGCTCTAGGTGCGCGGGCTTCAGTTGTGGCACACGGGCTCAGTAGTTGTGGCGTGTGGGCTCAGTAGTTGTGGCTCGCGGGCTCTAAAGCGCAGGCTCAGTAGTTGTGGCGCACGGGCTTCGTTGCTCCGCGGCATGTGGGATCTTCCTGGACCAGGGATCGAACCCGTGTCCCCTGCATTGGCAGGCAGATTCTCAACCACTGCACCACCAGGGAAGCCCCGAGACACGTAGCCTTAGCACTCTTCAATCCTCCTACGTGCAGGAGGCTAGATTCACAGATTAGCACTCCCCCCCCATCATGTGATACACACGTCAGCTGGGGCCAGATGTAGGCAAATAGAGAACTTAACAGGAAGGCTTCTGGGGCCAGTCAGGGGTCAAACTTGCATCCGGATCTCTGGCCACAGCATCCTCTTCGCTCATCACCCCTCAGGTCATCCCTGATCCCTGGGCTGGAGGACCTGAGCCGCCCTGGGGGAGCATCCCTGCTTCACCCGCATTCCTGCCGGAGCCTCCACGGCTGCAGCCACAGCAAAGCGAGGCGGGGGGTGGGGGCGGCATCCCCGGTGGGAGCTAATGACTGCATCTTGGAAAATGACACACGGGGTAGTTAACTCACAGTTCTGAGCTTCCCCAGAGGGAAACAGACAAACCATTCTCTTGCTCTCCCAGGGTGTCCTAGCACAGCCTCAGTTGTAAAGTGGGTGTGAAACTGAGGCTTTTCTAGATAAGACACGTTCCTGGAAGCCCAGTGCCCTGGTGGGTCCGTAGAGCAGTCAGCTGCCCTGGGTCTGCACACAAGTTTAGCTGCCCTAGACCTCTGGCCAGAGGCCGGTGTTATGGCCTTAATTGTGTCCCCCAAATTCAGGTTTTGAAGTCCTGACCCCCAGTAACTAGATGGGACCTTGTTTGGAAATAGGGTCTTTGTGGATGCAGTTAGTTAAGACGAGGTCTTCATGGAACAGGGTGGGTTCTACTCCCACTTGCCTGGTGTTCATCTAAAAAGGGGAAATCTGGGCACGCACACGGGCGCATCCTGGGGAAAACACCACGTGAACACGGAGACAGAGACGGGGTGAAGCGGCTGCAGGACAAGAGACACCAAGGGTGGCTCCGGGAGCCGGAGAGGGGCTGCACCAGAGTGTCCCTTAGAGCCTCAGAAGGAACCAGCGCTGTCGACACCTGATCTCAGACTTCCGGCCTCCAGACTGTGGGAGAGCACATTTCTGTTGGTCAAGCCCCCCAGCTTGCGGGACTTTGTTACGGCAGCTGGTAATGGATTGCTCAAGTCTGGGGCACCAAAAGCCGCAGGAAGCCACGGCCTCCACTGGGGGGCGCTGATGATCCCGGGTTCCATGCGCTTGGGGGTCTGGTCTTAGGCAACAGGACCTGAACTCACTGTCTCAGGGAGGGAGGCCGGGGCTTGGCGCGGGAGGTGGAAATGAGCAAGCAGGTCAGGCTAGGAGGAACCCAGCAGCATCACTTATTTTATTCACACCCCAAAGACACCCTGTTGAAAAGTCAGTTCGTTAAGACGTTCATAGCATTTCTTTCTCGGGCTCTGGGTGCACAGAGGGCGGTGTGATCACCGTAAGCTGTGTTCTTTAGGCGATGTTCCCTCTCTTCCCAGGAGACGCACAGGGGTACGCTCTCTCTTTCATATAACAATACACTTCTCCTGATTCTGTCTTGAGAACACACAGCTCCCTCCATCTATTTTTGTTTTCTGCACTTGGGGGTTAGAGACATGGCTGGGGAGAAGTATTTCCCTATTAGAGGAGAAACGGTGACATAGACGGCAAATGAAAGTTTGCCCTCTGGGCTGGGGAGACTGGGTGTGAAGAGGCCTGCAGGGACGTCTGCCTGGAGACGACAGCAGCAAATTCACCATGTCCAATAAGGGCCACGCTGATTGTAAGCCCCATTTTCCCAGAGTGTCTGCATTTTCAAGAGAAGGCAGATATCCAGATTTTTTAGGTGAAGTGGCCAAAGTCTTAAGTGTTGACTCAGTCTTTTTTCTATTCTGTAACCTGCTTTATTATCCTTCATACAATTTATGACCATCTGAAAATTATTTCGTTTGCTGTTAATCCCCCCAGCCCCGGCTAGAGGTAAGGTCTTTGAGCGTCGGCCTGGGTCTGTTATATTTACTGCTTACCTCCTGTATTTGCACTAGTTCCTAGCACACAGGAGGTGCTCAATAAATAGCAGGTGAATAAGTCAGTGACCCATCACTTGATACTGTTTGCACAAAGACCAGGATTTCACGCAACTTCTTTTTCTGGGGAATCGTCTCGGGACTGCGTTTGATTATTAGAGGAATCTAAAACTCAACCTTTTTAAAAACACCCCAGCCCAGAGTCACCACGGGCACACACGTGCCTCAGGAAATTGACCTCTGAATGTACGTGTGAGATCCAAAGACAGGACAGAGCCCTTTTTGCTCCAGCCCAAAGGGAGGCTGGACTACACGCTTGCCTGCCGTGGTTCTCACTTACTGCCATCAGTCAGCAGGCTTTTAGCAGAGAACTGCACACGTGATTGATTTTCAAATCCTTTCAGGTCCTGAAGGAGAGATACTTAGTACACAATGTACTTTGTCATCATGTGTCAACATCGCCTCAACGCAGAGAGAGGCATTACGCTGCGTAAGACTGTAATCGGATTGTTGCCGGGATCCGTCAATCTGCTTCTTCATTTCCCCAGAGCTCAGCTTTGGAGGGCCATTTGCCATGGATGCCAGCCGCTGGGAGGGGGTCAGTGTGTAGAAAGACAAAGGACAGCCATAAAGCCGTGGAAGGCAAATTTTATATTTACAGCCGGTAAGTTTATAAATATATATTACATTCTTACTATCTACAATACATTCTGCACGCAGACGGATTTGAGAGGGGGCAGCGGCAGCGTTATGAAACGGAACATCACGCGGGAAAGAATGAAAGAAATGAGGGGGGGTTACTGAAAGCAAAGGATTATCCTTGAAAAGGGGTGACAGTTTAATCACCCAGCCAGACAATGTAAGTCAAGTGGGGGACAGGAGCAGGTAGCTGATGGCTGCTGGAATCTCAGTCTTAGAGCAAACGGACAGCACCTTAGTTTGGGGGAGAGTGCTGAGGTCGAGAGGGTGAACTGGTGGAATTTACACACTTGATCTCAGGAGAATTCAATTATATGCATAGAGACTGAAAGAGAGAGAGAGAGAGAGAGAGAGAGAGAGAGACAGAGGAAGCAGAGAGATAGGTTCAGAAAGACACAGGGACAGAGAGGCACACAGAGAAAGAGAAACTGACCTTAGAACCCAACACTCGAATAACCCAGCTCTCTGCCCCAAAGGTGGTTACCTCAGGTCCCTCCATCCCTCCAAGGTGGAGAAGAAGCCTCCCCCGCCCCCCCCGCCGCCCCCTGTGTGTGAATGGGCCAGGCTTCCTGCCCAGCCCACCTCATCGCACACCCCGAGTCCCAACTCTCCCCGCCCTGTACCCTCCGTGTGGACACCCAGATTTATCTCATCAACCTTGAGCAGCAGACTGGATGGGACCGTCCACAGAGGCATCACAGAAGAACCCTGCTTTCCGGGAAAAGCAAGGGGAAGGAGCATCCCTGGGTGTTGAATTCCTTGTGAGCGCTGCTGACCCTCCAAGACCAGCCTCTTCAAAGAAGGACACGTGTGAAGTTTGCCCAGTGGGGCTTCAGCGTAGAATGTCACCTGGTGGTTGACACAGACGCCACAGTGGAAGAGAGGGAATGGTGACACTGCCCTCCACTGCCGAGTGACCAATGACTTTTGGAAAGGTGGCGATGTGGGGCGTGGTGGGGGAGGAGTACAAACGTGAACGTAGTGAATTTGCTAAAAAAAAAAAAAAAAAAAAAATTCTGGTCCTTCGAACCCAGTTGAAAGTCTCCACCCAGGCTCCCTAGTTTACTAGTAAAGGGATGCTCTGAACGGCTCAGAGCGCCTTTGTTTGTTTGGGTGGTGGTTCTTGGCACGTAGTTACAAAGGTACTGGTGGCCTATTTACCCTCCTGTTCCCTTTCAATCCTCGTCAGCGATTGCCTTGCTTTGCCCCAGCCTTTGGGAGACAATAACTCGAAACTCAAAACTCTTGCTTCCCAAGAGCTGACTCTAGGTGGCGCTAGACTCCACCTCTGCTCATATGCTCACAGCCAGATGTGCTGCCCGAGGTCCAATGACACGCTTCCTCCCATCCATCCCCTTGAGCCCAACCTGAGTCTCATTTTTCTCCTGTGGTCCACAACATTGAATACGGCAGCTGTGTGGCTTCAATGAAAGAAAGTGAGATGGCAAGAGAGGGATTGTTCTCTCCTGGAGGTTCTCTGAAGTTCAGTGATTCAGAACTCATCTTTCTTCCAATGTAAGAATCTCGCCATGCATGATAAACCCCTTAACACTGACAGAAACATTGGACCCTGGACTGTTGACATCAATTCCAACTCGGGGCCGTCCCAGGGGAGCCAGGGTCATTGTCTGTGGCTCTGTGGATAGCGTCACCCTGCTCTTGTCCCGTCTTTTTATTTCCCCACCGGGCACACGGTTGCCCCACATCCCCAAGTTAAAGGCCGAAAGGTGAGTGAGAACCAATGTCTGTGAAGGCCCGGCTTACACATCTTCATGTAATCCTTCCATGTAGCCGCATGACTCTTGGCATCCCCCAGGGTCCAGATCCTGGCAGACCCATTTCACGGCATCCTCACTGCTGGTCGCTATGGAGTTCACGGCGGGGCATCTGTCATCCGTAGAGACGGTGGTGAAAGTGGTGAATTCCACTCTTTTCCTTTTTGAGGTAGGGGACGTTGGGGGCTCGCTTTTCAGATCGCTCCCGTCCATGAGTGCGTGTCCTGAAGATGCGAACAGCTGTCCGTTGGTGCTGTTTGGGGAGTTTGTGCTGAGGAGATACTTACTCTCTTCGAAATCCATGCCCCTGTCGATGGCGGTGATCTGCTCGTCCTGGGAGGAAGCCAAGTTGATGTGATTCTCCAACAGTTCGGCCCGGTGGCTCAACCCGACCCAGTCATGGTAGTGACTCATACCTTCTTGTTCCTCGAAGGGAACCTGCTTGTGCCTGTACTTTAACGCAAAGGTCACACAGTTTATTAGGAAGACCAGAATGGCCAGGCAGAAGACACCCAACAGGGCATACATCCCAATTTCCAAGTCGCTCAGCCCTTTGGAGGCCTGCGTGAGGTCATTCTCATCCATTTCCCCATAGCTTCTGGGCAGGTCCACCTGGGCGGGGAAGCTGGTGAGGTCAATGGAGATGGTCTGCAAATGGCTGTCATCATCCAGAAGGCTTTCCTGGCCACGGTTCTTCTGGAAGGTGGACCTTTCCGTGGTGGAGCCCCTTCCTTCCATGAGGCCCACGGAAGAACTGCCGTAGTACCGTCCCTCTTGACGCCCCCATTCTTGCGAGGGTTTTCTGGGTCTTCTGTCACTGACATTATTATCCAGGTGACCTCCTGCCCCCGTGTGTCTGCTGTCGCTGGTGTTGGGATTGGCATCGTTTGGGCCAAATTTAACTTTGACGTTGGCTGTCCCCACGGCCAACACGCTCTTCCGTTTGGATTTCTGGCATGACTCACAAATAACCATTTCGACCTTCACCAGGGCACCCTGTCCCTCGGCTTCAGCCGTGATTATAGGCCACTTGAATTTGGGGTCTTGGTGGATAGAGACCACCTTCTCATCCAGTGATGTGGCCATCAGGGAGAAGTCTTTCGCGTCGTAAATATCCAAGGGGGTGACAGAGCCATCACTGAATTGGACCCAGCAACTGATGGCTGCTTCCTGTTGAAGAAAAAAGTAAGTTCATCAAAACGGGCCCCAAAGCTCACTGAATACAAAGTCTTAGGAAAAACAGACACTCTGTCACAAAGATAATACTCCAAGAACAAAGGGAAACCTTTTATGCAGCGTAGAAACAAGAGGCGAGAAGTACTGAGGGTATGAAAGAAAATGAATTCCTGTAAAGATGTAGAAGCCAAAGAAAACTACAACAGCAAAACGACAATGATGAAACAGGCCCAGGAATAACCCTCCCTAATAAGATCTGCTTTCTCTCCTGAGGTGTTGAAAGAAAGATGGCTTCTTTTGGCGGTACAGGATCTACTTCTGCATAGTAACCAACTGCCTATCAACGGAGATATACCGGTTAGTGGGGTCATTTACAAATGTTACACAGGTAAACGAAAAATATTTATTACGTTATGTTTAAGTTGCTTTAATACCGAGTCTCCATGCATTACTCACAACACAGGTTAAAACCCCTGACCTAGACAAGGGTGCCCCAGAGGGGCTGCAGGCTTTGGTTGTGTTGGTCCTGCTACATCAGCATCTAAGGATGGGTTTGTATTGGCTTGTGGACAGTCTTGGCTTGGAGGTGAAGAGTAAAACCAACCAGCCAGAGAGAGGGTTAGGGCTAGGGTTAGGGTTGGGGTTGGGAAGGGTTAGGGTTGGGGTTGGGAAGGGTTAGGGTTAGGGTTGGGGTTGGGGTTGGGAAGGGTTAGGAAGCTTTCTGTTGGGAGAATCTTTGTCTTCCCTTCCACTCTCCAACCCAACCAGTTGGGGGAAACTGGGAGACCCCAAATTAGCCAGGGTCAAGACTTGTGTCCATCTCAATCCCTTGTCTTTTTACTTTGTTGCTTTAGACCAGCTTTCCTTGGGAGACTGTAATAGACAAAATAACCTCTAAGCCTTCAGTTTCAGTGACGATGTCATTGGCCTTGACAGCAAACTGGGAGGCCCATTGCTCCCTCCTCCCTCCTCCTAGCTCCCGGAGAAGCTGCTCCACCCCAAACCCAGAAGGATGCACAGCCCTAAGAGGCTTGTGTGCCTGCCCACCTGGCCACAGCTGATTGGACCCATAGGACGGCTGCTGTCAGAGCCATTCATCTCTGCAGCTCTGAGCCAGCCGGCATCTCCCCCTCCAATTTGAAATAAGCAAGATGGGAGAGGCTTCCCTGGTGGCGCAGTGGTTGAGAATCTGCCTGCTAATGCAGGGGACGCGGGTTCGTGCCCCGGTCCAGGAAGATCCCACATGCCGCGGAGCAGCTGGGCCCGTGAGCCATGGCCGCTGAGCCTGCACGTCCGGAGCCTGTGCTCCGCAACGGGAGAGGCCACAACGGTGAGAGGCCCGCGCACCGCGATGAAGAGTGGCCCCCGCTCGCCGCAACTAGAGAGAGCCCTCGCACAGAAACGAAGACCCAACACAGCCAAAATAAATAAATAAATTAACATTAAGATGGGAGTGAAGCACTCAGTGGTGGGAAGATGTGTCGGAGCTCATGTAAGACTGGAGAATGAAGCCACTTTGGAGCCCCACGATGGATCAGGTGTAAGCAAATGTCTGGGCACAGCATTTATTTAATGAGATGATGGACATGAGAGAGACTGTCGACCCCCCAGTTTCCCCAGGTTCTTGCAGCTGGGGTCTAAGAGGGCCCCTCTACCCTTGTATAAAGCCTGTGTTATTTAAACTTGCTTGAGGGGATTCCTCTTACTTGCGACCAAAGAGCCACTGACCACCACAGAAGTTAAGTTTACCTGGTGGCGTCTGGTCTTTTCTGACATATGACTGGTGGTCTCTGCTTCTCCTTCAGCACAGCCAGTAAATACCGACCTTGTTAGCCATCGGCTTGGGGTGGCTGCTAAGTGGAAAATGCCTCCATGACACAGGCCAGAAGCCACTGGAGGTGACCTCGGTTTACCTGGGCCTTCGGATTGGCTGTGAAATTGCAGCAGGAACTTCAAACGCACGTTGGATTTCTTGAAACTGAAATGTCAGAGCCAAGTTGCAGGCAGGGACTGAGCTCCATTCAAAGCAAGCACGGAGCAAACCTCAGGGTCACGTGCCTAGCTCTGCATGTGGGAAATGGATTCGCTCTGTGGCCCTATTCTAACTGTGTCTTATCGCTTCCTTAACTCCTAACCGGCAGTCACCTGATTTGATCGCCCCAGGAAGACAGGAAGAAGCCTCGGGTTATTTCTCCTTTGCTATCTGTAACTTGCAACCTGGCTGGCATCATGCCCTGAGAAAAGGGAGGTTTGTCTCTGGCAAGAATTCGTATCCGTTATTGAGATCATCCACTTTCAAGTGCTTTCTAATCCAAACCCCTGCACACAAAGAAAGACCACAGTGAAAGGACAAGGGATTAGCTAACACCTGGCAGGGGAGCCTTCAGTGATGGGTACGGGCTGGGAAAACGGTAAGGCTCTGTGTGTCCAGGGGCAGGTACAGCTTAGCCCACCTTCCTGCCCAAACACAGTCACAGCCTCAGCAGGTGCAAGAGGGGACCCAGATGGCAATGTACCTGCCGAGGGGAGAGCTTCCAGGAAGCGCTCCTGACCAATAAGGAAAGCTGCCCGAAAACCCCCTGTGTGGGCTGGAGGCCTTCTAGCATCCCCACAGGAGGACAGTCCTGTCTCATGGGGCGCACAGAATCAGTAGCCTGAGACCACCGTCCTTGGGCATTAAACAAGGCTCACCAAAGTCTCCATCCAGTTTCCTTCTAAGAAATAAAGTTTCTCCATCTCAGATGAGGGAGGAGATCAGATGACGTTTCCAAGTGCCCTTCCAACAGTCCTCTTTGTTTGGAAACCATCGTATCAACACACAAACACGCACCACGTGATACACACCACAACAGGTACACATACACAACGCACACTACACACAACACACATACATAACACAAACATACACATACGCACAGTACACACAACACACTATTAGCGCACGCTGGTTTCCAGTAAAGAGAAAGAAGGCCATGACTGATGTCACCACCGGCTTGTTACTTCTGCTTTGAGCTAAATGACAAATGTGGACGCATCTCCTCCAATCTCCTTCCGACCCCCAGACCCGTTAGCCCATGTTTTTGAGCAGGGACTTAGCGGAAGGCTGTGGACCCCTCCTTGGAGTCTGTGCCCGCCCTCGCTTTCACCCACTGCTCGGGGACGTCAGCGGGGTCCAGAGCCAGGACCGTCTGGGGGGGGGGGTGGAGAAGCAGCACAGGTGACGCGGATGGGGCGCGAGGAGACTGCGCCCAGCCTCTCTGGCTCCTGGTGCGCTATAATCCATCACTCCTGGCAACCTTGGGGTCTGGCATCTACGTTGGGGGCGCTGGGAAGCCTGAGGCTGAGCAGTTGCCCCTTCACAACGCCTCTCCAGACTGCGGAGCGCCCGATGTGCGAGCCCACTCTTTTGCGGGACCCCTCCACCCCAATTAGTGATTCCACCACACAGGCAACCTGATCCAACGCGTGACCTCACCCCACTGTGCGACCTCACCTGAAGTGTGACCTGCTCAAGGCGGAAGCCCACCCAGTGAACGACCCCACTGACATGTGATGCAACCCCACCACGTGACCCCAAGAGATGTGGGATTTCCCCGCTGGTGTGGGCCCCACCTGCTGTGTAACCGCACCTGGTGTGTGACCTCACCTGGTGTTTGACCTCACCTGGGTGTGACCTCACCTGGTGTGTGACCTCACCTGGTGTTTGACCTCACCTGGGTGTGACCTCACCTGGTGTGTGACCTCACCTGGGTGTGACCTCACCTGGTGTGTGACCTCACCTGGGTGTGACCTCACCTGGTGTGTGACCTCACCTGGTGTGTGACCCCCCCCATGTGTAACCCCCCTGGATATATGACCCCACCTGGTGTGTGACCTCACCTGGTGTGACCCACCTGCTGTGTGACCTCACCTGGTGTGTGACCTCACCTGATGAGTGACCTTACCTGGTGTGTGACCCCCCCATGTGTAACTCCCCCTGGATATATCACCCCACCTGGTGTGTGACCTCACCTGGTGTGACCCGCCTGCTGTGTGACACCCCCGACATGTGACCCCTTCCCACGGTGCCCCATCCCCACCCCACACCTGTCTGGGCCTTTGCAGAAGTTCTTGAGCCACCGCAGTGGCGAAGATGGCTCTGTTGCTCCCAGGGCTGAGCTGCAGGGAGAGGGACAGCCCTGCCACCAGCTGGACCCCGAGGTCTGTGATCGTCACCTTCTCGTCCAGCACGGTGATGGTCTTCTCGGCCAAGATGGCATCTGACAGAGGCGACAGGATCTGAAAGGCAGAACCGACATAGGCAGGAAAAGCTCTCTGTGGTTCCAGAAATCCCCCCGATGGTGTAAACGATGGAGGTGGATAGGGACAGACAGAGCCAGAGGAGCAAAAACGGGTGTTTCCACTCATGCCTTCTTCTAAAAGATACAGCTTGCTTGTGAAAATATAGCGCATTTTTTAAGTAACAGCAAGATGGTATCAAGGAGTGGATGGGGTAGGACCTGGCATCCCACCCACAGCATCAAATAAACTCCATTGCCTACCGTGCACTGCCCTCAGACCCTGAGAAGAATTAACATTTTCATTCATTTCAGCACTAACGTTACGATTCTTCTACAGCATGGATCATTTCTACTATTACTTAGTGCATATTTTGTTTAAAATCATTTTATGTAAAGAATTTGTTTAAAAAAGCTTCATAGCGTCATAGAAAAACGGTTTCGATATGCTAGCTATACATTTCTCTATTTCTCTCTTCTACACATGATCGCCAATGACCAGTTACACGCAAAGAAGAGACGGTCGGTCCATGTACCACCTGAAGCATCCCGTGTGTCACCGGGAGCTCGCACTCCACACTTTGGGGAACACTGAGCAGTGACACTCAGCTGTATTTTGGAATATCAGCTTCCGTCCTCTGATAAACTCAGCTGCGAGTCCTACCCTTGACGCCGATGTCCCAAAGTCTCATTGGTCTCTGGACACCTGTGATGCCCTGGGGAATGAAGCTTCTGTTCAATTTAGACCCTGAGGAGGAAATCCTGCTTTGGAAGATTGTCTGTGGAAGCACCTCTGCTCCCCCGCCCCTCATCCAAGTTACAAAGTGCTGACTTAGACTCCCCTCTATGAATCCTTAACCTTCTGGGTGAAACAGGTTTCATTCTCCCTTCCCCAGCTTTTTTGACGTATTTCTCTTTTCAAGTTGTTGGTGATATTTATGAAGATGTATCTCAGGACAGTTTTCCCTGGATTCATTAAATTCCTTTATCAAAGCCCCACATTTCTGTTCAAATACCTTCTTCAGTTTCTAAATCTGGTTGGGACACCTTGAATGGCGCTGGGTATGAAACAGGAGTCCCCAGAAGAAAGTGGCCAAATGAATTTATAACTCAGGAGGACTCGGTGGCCATAAATAAGAGGGAAAAACGAAGGGTCTCAGGAGCAGATGCCCCACTAGGACAATTTTCATGTTTCACGCATGGGAAGCTGGCCCCTTCGCACTCACTGATTTTCACAGAAATACCTGATTTCTGAACAGTGTTTCATTGCGTCTTTGTATTTAAATGATCATCTTGAGTGGTTGGTGTCAAGTTGTCGTCTTGGTTCCAGTTTCCAGACATCAGCATGACTTTAGCCCATGGATCAACTTTAATTTAGATCTTTCAGGCAAAAATCAACTGTGAAGATTACAAGTGCTTGTCTATGGGGCGGATGTGTTCTGTTTGACATAATACTTCAAAATGGGATGAATGGCCATCCTTAAAAAACAGATGATTTCGTATGAAAGATAGATTTCTAGCTATTCTGGAAAAGTTGCAGCATCTCTCCACACTGGGCTCCCATTTCCTCTTGGCACCTTTTGGAGGTGAGTATCAGCCTCCCTTTGCCACACTCCTCACCACTCCCTATTGTCCTCCTAACACTTAGGGCCCAACTCAGTCATCCTCTTTCACCTGATGCTCTGGCTGCTTTCCTCACAGAGGGTACCTTCGCAGCTTTTAGAGAGCATTGGAGCATGTAACACCTGAGTCCCAGTTCAAAGTAATTTACTTTCCCCCTTGAATAAAATGATCTCTTTTATTTTTATTTTTTTCCAGTGGCTAAAGTATTTTATTAGATTAAGTACGTCATTTGCAAATGGTTTCATGTGAAAATTTAAAAGCAAAGTTATAAAACATTTTTAATAAAACAGTACAGAGTTAACAGCAAAATTACATTTTCTTGATTGTACAAATAAAAACATTTTGTTTCTGATAGACTGTCTGAAAATTTTATAATGTATTCTCCAACTGATAGCTGCAATATTCTATTTTAATGAGACGTCTCAGGGTTAATTCAATCATTTGATAATAATGGGTTCAAAAATGATCTCTCTTAAATATCAGCCCATTTTCCAGAATGTTTGAAGTCTTCTACAATCCAATAGAGTAAACCTCACTGTTTGGCTAATAGGATGATCACCTCTTCTATAAATGGGGCAGTCACTGAGGAACAATATTTGCTCTCAGACAGGAGGTAAGTGACTCCCAAGTGACCTCCCAGAACTGTGTCTTGTGAAAGTGTTTGTTTCAAAGCTCCCATGTTGCATACTGGTTCACCCCATCCATTCCTAGCAGCAGGTGCTTACAAGACCAGTGGAATCATAATAACTCTGTTGCTTCCTTCAGTACATTTCTGAAATGCTCCAGGTTTCATCATGGGGCAGGCTGGGCCCTGGTGGAGACAGCTGAGCATCATGGTGGGATGGGAAGCTTTTCGGTGACCGTGGTCAGTGAGGTGGAGTGACCAAGTGAGAAGCTGCTGGCCACACCCATGATTCTGATGTGCTTAGCCCACCCCAAGAGCTTTTTAAAAAGTATTTTTCAATTACAAAACTTTTATTTTATATTGGGGTTGGTTGATTTACAATGTTGTGTTAGTTTCAGGTGTACAACAATGTGATTCAGCTGTACATGTACATGTATCTGTTCTTTATCAGATTCTTTCCCCATATAGGTTATTACAGAGTAATGAGTAGAGTTCCCTGTGCTATACACTAGGTCCTTGCTGGTAGTGTGTATATGCTAATTTCAAACTCCTAATTTATCCCTCCCCAGACCTTTCCCCTTTAGCAGCCATAAGTTTGTTTTCTATGTCTGTGAGGCTGTTTCTGTTTTGTAACAGTTCATTTGTATCATTTTTTAAGATTCTACATATCAGTGATATCACATGGTATTTGTCTTTCTCTGTCTGACGTACTTCACTTAGTATGATCATCTCTAGGTCCATCCATGTTGCTGCAAAGTATTTCATTCTTTTTTATGGCTGAGTAGTATTCCATTGTGTACATGCACCACATCTTCTTCATCCATCGATGGACATTCAGGTTGCTTCCATGTCTCAGCTGTTGTAAATGGTGCTGCAGTGAACATTGGGGTGCATGTATCTTTTTGAATTTGAGTTTTTGTCTTTTCCAGATGTACGCCCAGGAGTCAGATTGCTGGATCATATAGTAGCTTTATTTTTAGAGCTTTTGTCCCAAGATAGTAACATCCACCATGTCTCAGAGACAAATAACGTCTTGGAGTTTCAAACATGACCCATCCTGAGAAGCCAGTCCATCATTATACCTCTTCTGTTGTTTATTTGACCGCTTCTTTCAGTCTATTCACTCTGAAAATGGATACTGTTGAATAGAGCTACCGTGTGATCCAGGGATACCACTCCTAGGCGTACATCTAGACCAAACTCCAATTCGCTACATGCACCCCAATGTTCACAGCAGCACTGTTTATAATAGCCAAGACATGGAAGCAACCTGAATGTTCATCTACAGATGAATGATAAAGAAGATGTGGTACAGATATACAACGGAAGATTACTCAGCCATTAAAAACAGAATGAAATAGTGCCATTTGCAGCAACAGAAATGGACCTAGATATTATCACACTAAGTAAAGTAAGCCAGACAGAGAAAGACAAATATCATATGATATCACTTATATGTGGAATTTAAGAAAATGGTAAAGTGCACTTATTTACGAAACAGAAATAGACCCATGGACATAGGAAAAAAACAAACGGTTACCAAAAGGGAAAGGGGGGGGATAAATTAGGAGTTTGGGACTAACATATACACGCTACTATATACAAAATTGATAAACGACAAGGACCTACTGTACAGCACAGGGAACTCTATTCAATATCTTGTAATAACCTATAATGGAAAAGAATCTGAAAAGAATAGATGTATACATACGTATGGCTGCATCACTTTTCTGTACACCTGAAACGAACCCAACATTGTACATCGACTATACGTCAATAAAAAAATAAATACATAAAAATAGATATTGCTCTAAGTGACGACAAACGGCTGAGTTCTCGTCCGGGTAGAGACGTGACGGGAACACAGAGAGGCCTTGCCTTGGGGGTCTTACCTGAATGGCGGTCATCCCGAGCTCCTGGCCAATCAGGACTTGTCCCCCTTGCAGCTTGGCAATCCGGGGCTCCTCCACCTGCATGAAGTCATTTACCAGCTCCGTGATGTCCACCTGCCAATCGGAGCCCAGCAGGTGGGCCAGCTGCCCCCCGGGCTCAGCCACTTCGGCCACAAACTGAGTCAAGACCCGCACCATGGCGTGCTGGTACTGGAGAGTGCAGCCCCGGCCTTTCTTCTCATCTTCTTCCTCCTCCTCACTGTCCCGAGCTGGCCTGTCAAGGGGTCAGTTCGATTGAACAGATGCTGATTGGTCGGGTCAACTGACCTCAAGGGGTCAGTTCGATTGAACAGATGCTGATTGGTCGGGTCAACGGCTGGGGGCTGGGGGTGAAGCATGGCAGGGGCTGCAGAGGTGAGAGGGCATGAGGCCTGCCTTCGGGGAGTTCACAGCCTGGGCCGGGGGGGCGGTGCTCAGACACATGTGCAGGGGTGATGCTCAGAATATCGGAGCCCTGCTGTGGCCTGAGCGCTGACCAGTCAGAATGGGCTGGTGTGGTCAGCAGAGTTCTAAGGTGTCCCCTATGAGCCCCATCTCCTGGTATTCACTTTGTGAAATCCCCTTTCCTTTGGGTGTGGCCTGGACCTAGTAAATGTTTCTTCCAATGAAAGATTACAGCGGGACTTCCCTGGCGGTCCAGTGGTTAAGACTCCGCGCTTCCGATGCAGGAGGCACGGGTTCAATCCCTAGTTGGGGAACTAAGATCCCACGTGCCGCGCAGTGCGGCCAAAAAAAAAAAAAAATTTACAGCAAAAGTTATGGGATGTCACCTTCAAGATTAGGTTTTAAGAAACTATGACTTGTCGTGTTCAGCCCTCTTTCCTTTGTTCTTCTCTCTCTCTTCTTTTTAAATTAACCTTGCTTTCCTTTTCTATTACTTGTATACTTTCTTTTTCAAATTTTATTTATTTATTAATTTATTTATCTATGGCTGTGTTGGCTCTTCATTTCTGTGCGAGGGCTTTCTATAGTTGCGGCGAGCGGGGGCCACCGCTCATCGCAGTGCGCGGGCCTCTCACTATCGCGGCCTCTCTCGTTGCAGAGCACAGGCTCCGGACGCACAGACTCAGTAATTGTGGCTCACGGGGCCAGCTGCTCTGCGGCATGTGGGATCTTCCCAGACCAGGGCTCAAACCCGTGTCTCCTGCATTGGCAGGCGGATTCTCAACCACTGCGCCACCAGGGAAGCCCCAGGTTCTGCTCTCTTGCCTGTCCTGGTGAAGTCAGCTGCCGTGCTGTGTGCGGCCCTATGGAGACACCTGACAGCTGGAAGCAGCACCCTCTGGCCAACAGCCAGTGAGGAGCTAAGGCCTCCCAAGAACCACATGAGCTTGGATGTAGGTCCTTCCCCAGCAGAGCCTTGTGAGGAGACTCCAGCTCCGGCTGACAACCGGACTGTAGCTTGCGAGAGATCCAGCTAAGCCTGGCCTGGATGCCTGATCCAGGGGAACTGTGAGATGACAGGCTTTTCTTTCAAGCCACCTGGTTTTGGGGTAAGCCGCTCAATTATGTAGCAATAGATAATTAATACAGTAAGGCTCTGGGTGACCAGTATAGCCCTACAAACCAGTACACGAGGGGAGTGAGTGTTTAACTCAAGGGAAGGTATTTTGTGATAATGAATGTAGAGAGGGCCAGGCAGCAGGCAGATGTTAGCTGCTCCCTCAACAGCTGATGCCTTATGTGCTGTCAGTCCTTCCCAGCACCATCACGGTCTCCAGCAGAAGAGCTGCTCGCTCCTCGAAGTGGTTCTCTTGCTGTATCTGAGCTGGACAGTCGTGACAGCACCTGGCCTGTTCACGATCACTCGGCCAGTCCTTGGGTGAGTCTCTCCCTGCACCCACTTTCCCTCAGTAGCGTCAGTAATCACGCTGAACTCCATGCTCCCAACTCAACCTCAGAAACCCCTGTGGTTAAGGAAAGGGTCATGGCTGAAACCATCTTCCAACGGCACGCAGGACCCAAGCCTTCATTCCTGAAGCCCTGCCCTCTCCCAGGTGCCATAAGAACTCAAAGGGGTGGACTTCCAAGGGAAGGAAAATAAAAGCTGCCCCTCACCTAAGTACCAGTTCACTCCTCCTGCTGTACCAGTTCACTCCTCCTGCTGAGTACCCAGACTCCAGGAATAGTTCCTGGTCTAATTCTTCACATGCTCGCTTTTGACTTTCTACGAGTCCCTTAAGCGTGGGTTTCTCCAAGGTGACCCAGTCTCTGAAAAAAACTCTCTTTGTACCTGATGCCTGTTTATTTGCCCGAGGTGGGCGATGCAGACTTATCAGTCCATCTAACGCCACCAGAGGCACACAGGTGACAGGCCACGGACTTCATCTCCCCAAGGGAAACTGATCTCAGTGTTTCTGGGGGAAAAAGAGACTGCCCAGGTCAGGCAGCATCTGTTAGACAGCTCTCTAGTGGACCTCCGTTGCCTGGGGCCTCCAAGAATCAATTCTTCCCTCCTCCTGGCATTGATCTCTTGGTTCAGGCAGGGTTGACCTCTTTCCCTAGCTCCTCTGGCCCCAGCCGGGGGAATGTGGCTGCAGCCTAGCAGGCCAATCAGTGTATTCTGTCCCCTCCCCTCCCCTCCCCCCTCCCCTCCTTCCCCCTCCCCCTCCCCCCCCCCTCCTCCTCCCCCTCTCACCACCCCCTCCCCTCCTCCTCCCTCCCCTCCCCCTCCCCTTCTCTCCCTTCCCCTCCCCTCCCCCACCCCTCCCCTTCTCCTCCCCTCCCCTCTTCCTCCCCTCCCCTCCTTCCCCCTCCCC